AACTGTATCTCAAAATTTTAAAGAGAGAACAACTTATATATATATGCCAAAAATAAGGGTAACTACTATGAAGGGATAAAATATGACTCTGAAAATGAAAAATAAAGTTTTTTTTTTTTAAAAAGGGATTGATAAGATGTTGGTTGAAAAAGGGAAAAAGAAAAATTAAAAAACAGTTAACAAAAATTAACTTTGATGAACTAATGAATCATGGTAAAAAAAAGCCATGAATTCTATGTGCAGTATTCCCCTAGCGCTGGAGTTCTCCCGTTCTCCTTGATCGGTAAACTTGGTCTTGGTTTGCTGGCTGTTCGTGCTGATCTTCTGGGGGAGGGGCCTGTTGCCGTGGTTCCCAAATGTCTTTGCCGGAGGCGGAATTGCCCCGCCCTTGTCGGTCCGGGCTAAGCAAGCTGCTCGGGTTTGCTCTCAGGAGCTTTTGTTCCCTGCAAGCTCTCGGTACAGCCTTGGAGGACCAGGGTGAAAGTGGTGGCCTCCCAATCTGCACCCGGAGGAGCCGAGAACTCGGGGCCCCGCTCCTCAGTGCGCCCCCAGAGAAAAGCAATCACTCCCGTGTCCCCGGTCTCCGGCCGCACTCCATGCTCACCCGGCCTGTGACCGAGCGTTTCTATGTCTGGTACCCGACCCCGTGTGGAGTCTCCAAACCCAGCAGATCCCTGCGGTGCGTTCCCCCGCCGCTCCTCCCCAGGAAGGAAGGGGAGTGTCCCCACCTCTGCCGCTTGTTGGGTCCCTGCTGGAGGAGCAGTGGTCCAACTGGGCCACGGATCACAGTCTATGGCAACCCCGAGCTGAGAGCCCGCGCCTCAGCTCCGTCTCTGCAGCCGGCTTCCCCGCTCTGATACCTGGGAGCTCTGGCGCACTCAGGCACCCCCGGTCTTTCTGTGACCCCGAGGGTCCTGAGACCACACTGTCCCGCGAGGATTCCACCACCCGCTTAGCCACTGGAGCGACGTCCCTCAGCCGAGCCGACTTCTAAAAGTTCCGATTTTGTGCTCCGCGGCTCTATCACTTGCGAGAAGCGGCCGGCGGAGGCCCCTCCCCCGCCGTCTATCCTCCCGAATATCGCCTCGGATTCACTTCTCCGCACGTCCTACCTTCCAGTAAGTGGTCGCTTCTCTGTTCAGAGTTGTTGGTACTCTTCGATCTCCTGTTGAGTTCGTAGGTGTTCAGAATGGTTTGATCCCTATTCAGCTGAATTCCTGAGACCAGACGAAATCCAGGTCTCCTCCTCCTCCACCATCTTGCTCCGCCCCCCTGATTTTACTACTTTTGCCTTTTAATGTTCATAATAGCTGTGTGATTGATCTACTTCCTTTACTGTGTGTTTGCTTTTACCTGTGAAATTTTTTCCTTTTCTAGTTTTCACCTCTAGGCATGGCCTTTTCTTTTCTTAGAAAAGTCTTTTTAACATTTCTTAAAAGGTTGGTTTAGCGGTGATCAATTACTTACCTCTTCATCAGGTAGAGTATTCCTGATTGTAGGTTTTTTCCTCTAGTTTGACTAGATCATTCCAGTCCCTTCTGTTCTGCAAAATTTGTGTTAAGAAATCTGCTGGTAGCTTTATGGGGTTTCCCTTGTATTGTCTATAACTAGGTGCTTCCTTCTTGATGGCTTTAAGATCCTCTCTTTAATTTTTGATATTTTGTTTATGTTTCCTGGTGTGGACCTCCTTGGGTTCATCTTACTTTGGGGTGTGATTCTCGGACCTGGATCTCTGTTTGCTTCCGTGGGTTAGGGAAATTTTTAGCTCCTTTCTCTCTCTTTTCTGGGACCCCTATAATGCGAGTATATGTATAGTGTGGTTAAGGTTGTCCCAGAGACCATGTGACCTATCTTCATTTGGTTTTCTTTTTGTTCTTCGGCTTGGCTGCTTTATGATACCCTGTCTTCCAGATCACTGCTCTGCCATGTCCTCTCCTCTGCTGCTGCTTCCTTCCAGTGTATTTGTCATTTCACTCATTGTATTTAACTCTGATTGGCTCTTTTTTATATTTTCTGAATTTATGCACTCTATCCAGTAGACTGAATCTGTGTTTCATTTAAGCATATTCCTGTCTCCTCATTTTGACTTTGTGATTTAGGTAAAACACTTACCTCTCCCAGTCTTGAAAGGGTGACCTTTCGTAGGGATGTTCCCTGTGCCGTCGATGTGTATAAATGAGCCTTGGCATGTCCCGCTGTGCCCAGTGCTTGGGCTGCCATGGCGGGCTGACTTGAGCTGGTGTGTGCGCACTGGGGGCACAGGGATCACTAAGTAGCCGGCCGGCTAGAATGCCTGACTCTGCTCCTGTCTGTATTGTCAGGGTGGAAAGGGAACGTACATCATGGTGCTCCTGAGCACCTCCAACCCCAGAGAAAATTCTAACCATTTCCCTACCTTTAGGGAGGTGTTAGTGGTGGGTTTCCCTTCACTTCTCGTCTAGTTGCTGAGTTCAGGCTGGGTGGCACTCAGGTCCAGCTGAAGGTCTTCACCTCACTTCGAAAGCCTTTCCCCATCCCCAGTGTTGCTCCATTTTGTCCTCCTGCCCCAATTGGCTCTTTGACACCTTTAGGTGCAGGAACTGTGTACCTCATCCAGGTTTTCACTGGGGGAGCATTGGTCTGCCATCAGCTGTCCCATCATACCTAGATGTGGTATGTGGTATTTTTCCTACCAAATGCCTTCTGACAAGTACAGTAGCATATTAGGAAGATTAGGGATAGTAAAAAACAGTTGACTCTTGAAAATTATGGATTTGAACTGCACAGATCCACTTACCTGGGTTTTTCTGGTACAGTTCAGTACTAAAAATGTATTTTTCTTCCTGTGGTTTTCTTTTCTCTAGCTCACTTTATTGTAAGAATACAGTATATTATATATGTTACATACAAAATATGTATTAATAGACTGTTATCAGTAAGAATTCTGGTTAAAAGTAGGCTGTTAGAAGTTTTTGGAGAGTCAAAAGTTAGATTTTTAACTGCACCAGGGGGTCACAGCAACCCCAAACCTCCACATTGTTCAGGGGTAAACCCTAGTATTAGGACATGCCTGGTGTCTAGTGCGGATTAGAGAGGAGAGAATGGAAGGGCTGTGGCGGGAGGGTACAGAGGAGCAAGAGTGAGGACGTGTGAATGGAGAGCAAAGCCAGAATCCATACCTCTTGATCGTTCCTGCTTTGGCTCCTCTGTCTGCCGTGGTCCTGTGGGACGTAAGTGCACAGAAGATCAAGTCAAAAGCATGCTTACTACGGAGAAGAAACTAATCCAGGAAGAGCCAGGCATTCAAAAGAAGAGATCCCAAAATGGGTTTAGCCCTAACAGAATAGAGCTAGGACAGACCTGCCTGTCTTTGAATTCTGCCTCAGATCCTGCTGTATGAGAAGAACTAACATGACGTGTACCTTACCTGGACAAAAGCCTGTGTAAGCATGGACTATCCTTATTCTCAGGTTAACCCAAGTTGAAAAATCTTAGGTTGTGTGCATGGTGTGTTAAAATGTCCTTTTTTTCCTGAGAATTGACCGATGGTGGTAGATGGTCTATCTTTTGTAAAACAGAGTGGCAGTTCCCACGTTCTGTTACGAGATTTTTGCTGGTAAATGAAATCCAAGCATCTTGGAACCACAGTTCTTAAGCCCTTTAGACTAAAAGACTAAGCCTTTTAGTCACTTTGACTAAAAAAGTGACCCCTGTAGGATCCGGCAAGAGTTCTTTCAGCAGCTGCTTGGAGAGGGAAAGGGAGGGAGACAGAGCCTTAGTGACTGTCCATGAATGTGGGGTGGGGTGGGGCGTGCGCGTGGAGTTGAAGGACAGTAACGAGGAGAGGAGAGCCGAGCCCAGTGTTTCCCCAGCCAGCAGCACTAGTGAGAGAAATGGTAGAGGTTTTCTTGGGCATGACCGTGGTTGCGGTTGTAGCTACTAAATGGGATATTCCAGTTCATATGGCCAAGAGCACGACAATTTCAGATAACAAGGAGGACCTTCGAGTTCTTCTAATGTGTATTCACCAGCATCACAGAAGGAACTTTTACCTTCCGTGAGTCTGCTTTTCAGGAAGTCCATGCCTGACAGCTTAATCACCACGATTGTTCTCTACTATCTGCATCTGACTGATTAGTATGCCAAATAAAATTCATGTCCTTATTTAATGTTGTTTATTTGAAACCAAGTTTTAGGATAGGAATACTACAGACATTTACTTTAATTCTCAGCAAAACTGTTATTCTATATTTTACTTTGCTCTTTCTTTGAATATGTAAATAGAAGTTACCTAATTCATTTCGTATTTTATCACATTTCATTAGATCTACATATTTTTAAAAATAGACTGAACTTTTTTGCTCTATATATCCTCTTGTTATCCAAACTCATGATTTCATGGCATCTGGTGGTTGCATAATTCTGGTTATCTAAAATGCTGGTGGCGTTACAGATGACTTAAGGCAATTATAAAATGTATTTTTATAATTTGTGAGTAACTTTAAATGGAAGAAAGTTTTCTTGATTTCATGAAGTGTTTTCAAAGACAGATTATCAGGAATAAAGATTTGTTATTTCCTCTGAATGAGCTTATTTAATTTGCTAGTAACTTTGCAAGTGGGCTACATAGTAACCATAGAGATGGTAAAATAAAATTTCCTGTATTTTAGCAAGTGACATTTTTAAAAAGTTACCCATGATCAAGTATTTGCATATTCAGATGAGTGACTGTCTGTTGCTTTTTTGAATCCTCCTCTTTCCATCCTCCCTTAGTCTCAGGGAGGAAAACTTTACGTGGATAAGTTTCAGGTGCTTTTTCTTTGTTGTCCTCCCTCCTCTTGGAATTAAGCCAGCAGGTCATTTTATATATACTTTTTATGGATTATCCTCTTGAAAACTGATTAGAAAAAACACTTCCTTTTTGAACTCTAATGTTTTATCTGAATGATACTAGTTGTTGTTTGGTCACCGTAACCTTTATTTGGCACGTAAACAACTCAGTCCTCATCATTCTGTTGCAGGTGGTTTGACATTGGCTGTTTGATAGTGGAGGACCCCGTCCATGGCATTCACCTAGAGACCTTTACACAGGCCACACCCGTGCCTTTGGAATTTGTACAGCAGGTTCGTTTTCTCCTTCTACATCATACTCCAGAGAAACTTGAAATACTGTTTTCAGAATACAAGTTTGTGTGAGATAGGCCTTACATATTCTTGATTTTGCAGCTTCTTTTCACTTTTAGCCTTTTCTCTTTGCTTTTCAGTTTCCAATTTCTTTCATGTTGTTGAGTACCTTCCTCCTTTTCTTTTCCAGCTGTCTTTGAAAAGGTAATATGTGACAGGCTTAATCACTATTTTCCTCTTGTTTTCATGATTCTGTTCACTACTGTAAGAGCAGAAAAACGATTTACATCTTCTGCTAGTGGTCTGTTTACTTTTCATTATCTACCATTTTGGTTCCCCCATTACTTCCGTATCTTTTGTCTTTTGTCTATTTGTTCGTCTTTTGTTAACAAGTGGAAACCTGTTTAGAAACCTTACGTGAAAAGCACATGTCTTTAGGTTTGTTGAAAGCATAACTCTTAGTTTACCTGTCACATAGATTTTAGAAGAATGGAAGCATGATGTATAATGATTGGTTCCTTACCTTTCGTCCTTTCTTGAACAAAATAGAATGTAAATATTGGTTTACGTGGGAGACTTAGTACTCCATGTAAAAGGGCATTTTGTTGACGTTTTCCTTCCATTTCATAAAATTTTCATCACATTTGTTCTTAAATGTCATTTCAAAACTGTCTCTTAAAGTGATTTGGGTCTTAGGCATTTGAGAATCTGATAAAAGCTATTGGATTCTCTCCCAAGAAAATGCATGAATGTTCTCAAGTATAAATTTGGCTTTTATGTTTATAGAATCCCTGAAAGCAACCAGTGGCTCTCTTAGGGCTTTACAGTTTTCATGAGGCCAAAGAATTTTTAAATTTTACTGAACCTTTTACTTAATTAATTTCCTTTCAAAAGTTCAGAGAAATTTATAGATGGTAACATTAAACTCATCCCAATATGAAGGTGATTTTCAGTGAATACTATACAGACTGTTAAATCAAGAAATTAGATGAAGTGGCTGATTTTCTAGGAAAATAAAAATTGCCATAGTTGATTCAAATATTAGGTTGAATGAACCACATGAAACTGACTTTTTGACTTCAGAGAGAGCAAATACTGTCAGTTTCTTCCATTCTGAAAATAGTGACAAAGTTTTCCATTTTATTTTATGAGACTAGCCTAAACTACCCCCCCAAAAAATTACAATATACTATCACTTCAGACCTAAATGTCAAAATTAATACTACAATTAATAGATAAAATTATAAATTGTATTACAAGAACATTACAAAGCGTTCTAGAACCAATTATAATATGGGGGGTTGCCCCCCCCAATGCCACCAAGCAATTTTCCAACACTGGCTGGGTGTCCTGCATTTCAACAGTCTTACACCTGTAGGATCTCTAACCCTAACCTACAGATAGCATCCGATCCTACAGGTATAAGACTGTCTCCCCTGCCACCCACTTCAGACATCATAAGTTCAGGTTGTTAGCTGTTTGGCTATAAACCAGAAGTCCTCATGACCCTCTCTCCTTGGGTTCAATTAATTTGCTAGAGTAGCTCATAATAGCCAATTGGAAGAGATGCAAAGGGCAAGGTATGGGGAGGGGAGACAGAGCTTCCATGCCCTCTGACCCCTTCGTTATTTGCAAATCTGTCATGTTCATTAACTCAGACGCTCTCCCAAACCCATCCCCCATCCTTTTGGGGATTTATGGAGACTTTGTTACATAGGCATGATTGAATCAGTGGCATTTGTTGACTGGGTCAACCTCCAGACCCTCTCTTGCACACCCCTCCCTGACTTGTGGGGGAGAATGAGACAGAAAGTTCTAGCCCTCTAATCACATGGTGGCCTTCCTTGGCACTCATCCTTAAGGATGTCATCTCTAACAAAAGACACCTTTGTCTTCCTGCTTAAAAAATTACAAGGTTGTTAGGAGTACTGTGCCACAAACTGGGGTCCAGGATCAAATATGTATTCCTTATTATAAACCATAGCATTACACACCAGGCCTGGTCTTCAAACAGATTCCTTATAGCAGAATAATCAGAATAATCATAAAGGTCAAAAGATAACTTGCACATTAAGTCAGTAATTGATAATTATCCAGACTGTCATCACATCCTGTCAGAATGTGTCCCAGGGAAAGGCCACTCAGGTTTGTAGCCTTCTGTTCTATTTTGTCAGGTTCCTAAAACAGGAGTGGGATCAGTAATATGGCTTCACCCTTGTACACAGGTGGAGTAATTGAGCAAAGAGACTGTGTCATCTCTTATCCTGAGTCTCTTTTGAGGTGTTAGCATAACATTTCATTTCCCTCATTATATAACCCATTAATTCAATCCTTTACCCACAGCTACAGGTTATCCTGTTTTCAGTCTATACCCAAACTTTCTACCTGTTGGACGCACGTTACTTTTAGTCTATGTTGGTCTTGTCGGAGGCAGCACTACTAGTCTAGACTGCAAGTGCCTCCCCACTCAGTCCACTTCTGGCCGAACTGCAGGCACAGCTCAGACCCTGCAGGTTTGGGTCCAACCGCGGAGATCAGGCCAGTATCACAATGAAGTATGGCAAGTGTGTTTTTCGGTTTCTCAGTGCATATATGTTATGTTTATACTATACTATAGTCTGTTAAATCTGAAATAGCATATTTTAAAAAGTTCACATTTTAATTAAAAAATGTTATTGCTAAAAATTCTAACCATCATCTGAGCTTTCAGCAAGTTGTAATTACCAATCACAGATCACTGTAATAAGGAAAAAGTTTGAAATATTCTGAGAATAACCTGGATATGACCAGAAGTGAACAAATGCTGTTGGAGAGGTGTGTAGCAACTCTGTTGACACAGGTCTCTGTAAAAAATGCAGTCTCTGCAAAGCCCACTCAAGCAAGGTGCGATGGAAGGACGCACGCCTGTAGTGAACCAGCTCCGCCACAGGCCGTGTTGCCACCTGCGCTGTGGCCCCAGTTCTGCCAGAGAGAGAGGCACATCCTGCCCCTCAGGCCCTTAGGAAGTGTAACATAAAGGTTAAAAACAGACTTACCATTTCTTGCTTAGGAATCATCCGTTTCCCACATCTGGATTTGCAACATCACATGGGAATGAAAAGTTGACGTGATCTGGGGAAGGAAAAAAAGTCACTTTATCAGCAGCCTCCTCCCTTTGCCAGAATTGCACAGTCATTACCATCATCCTTGGCCACCCCCTGCCCCAGATCCACAGGAAAACAGAGGGGTGTGTCCAGTGGGGACACTCCTTTTCATCCCACTCATGCTGTGTGTCACGCTCCTGAAGTCATGTAAGCCAGCAGCTTCATGCCTTTCTCGGCCCCACTTTAGACCACCAGGCTTTCAACTGCCCGGTTCCATTCTCTGTCAGAGTAGAATGAGCTGTCAGGTGTATTCCTTGCTCTGAAGATAGGATGCTCAGCCATCCAAATTGGTACAATATCACCTTCTATTTGGGTTCTTTTATTGTGGCGCCAGGTGGCCACCTCAGGCAGGGATATTGGCCTGTCCGTCCCGCTCCCCTTCCAACCCCGGAAGTGCCAATGGGACCGTCTCCTACTTCCCTGTACCCTCACATTCTCAGAGTGATTTCCAGAGGCCTGTACCCCATAGGGGCATCGTTTAAATACGTTATGTTCCCATTACACCTTCCTGCCTCACCGTGTGGCCACACCATTGGCCGCTGCCTCTGAGTCAGTAAAAACCGAAACATGGGGCATTTTCTCTGTCACTGCTGAGAAAATAGGGTGCATTTCAGCATGCAGAGCTGATTATTTTTAACCTTTCTCCATCAGGGTGGTGGCCTTCCAGATACACTGTTGTCCGCTCACCTTGGAATTGCTGTCCACAAACCGAGCAGCTAGCTCTGCGTTGTTGAGAGTTGTTCACAGGGCACTGTCTACATGGCAGTTGGTTCTTACAGCTTTTCCCATGGCCTCAAAGTGAGTCCTAGAGAAAACGAGATGCCTTGTTCATGATTGTCTCCCTAGGCATCATGACCCTCTACATAAACCACTGCCATCCCTGTTAGGATGTTTCTCCAACAGCATCCTAGACATTATGGGTATGGGTATTTCACATCTCAAAATCATTTTATGTCCTTCAGTATTGGGTATTTCACATCTCAAAATCATTTTATGTCCTTCAGTGAAAAGGGGTAGTTTTAATAATGTTTACTAGTAAATGCCCCCCAGATGGAAATATTCTACTCCCAAGCCCCAGTAGAGGTCGCCAGGCACACTTGGATTTTTGCCATACTCCTCAGTTAAGCTCCACATGGGGCAATGGCCCAGAAAATTAGTCCCTGCTAGCATACCAGCATTGTCTTTTACTTTTACTTTAGCTATGGTAGATAACAACAACCAAGTGTTGGACTGTTTTGCCTTTTTCTTAATAGTGTGCATTTCTTTATGTATTCAGTAAACCAACTTTCCAAGAGATGGCTCCATCTCTAATTTCCATTGTTAACTTTACCTTTAGTGACAGAGTGCAGCCCTGATGCTGCTCCATTCCAGCAGTGACCACCCAGCAACCCAAGGTTCTTCAGCCCTCATCCTTTCCTCCCTGCTCTTCCTAAGCTACACCTTTCAATGAGCCAGGGCTGGTCTAGCCAAATACCTCTTCTGACACCAACTATTGAGGTTTCGGACCCAATTCCTATGTGTGGGAGGGGTTTTTCCACACCACCAAGGAATTTTAGGATACCAGCTGGTGTCAGACATTTCATCTCAATTCTGACTCTACACCTGGAGATAGTATCCAATCCCACAGAATAAGGACTCCATCCTACAAGACTGCCCCCTCCCCATCGCAGATGCCAGTGACAAGTCCAGGTGATAAACTGGTTCTACAGACTGGTTCTGACAACCCCCTCCTCCTCAGGAAGGCTCTCTACTCCCTAGGTTGCTTATTATGAAAAGCTAGAACTTGGGAACAGCCAGATGGAAGAGATGCGGAGGGCAGGGTCCCAGGAAAGGGTGCAGAACTTCCGTGTCTGTCCT